TGGAAATAAAATTTATAATTGTTTATTAGAATGATCTGACAAGAAGAAAGGTGTACTTTTTAACGAATTGTTATAAAACAAGGGTATATGTACACTGTAAATCAGATGGTACAAAGTTTGTTTGTCAAGCTAATTATGAGTTTGATAAAAGCATCAGGAAACTCAGAGAAACTCTAGGATTTTTTTTTTCTTAGTACAGGAATGTCATTTCATTTTCTCTATTATGTTGGTCATGGGTGGTAGTAGTAAAACATGCTTTCCTGCTCATTTAATTAGTCCCCTATTAACTTTTCAGTACTCCTTGGGGAGACTTACCTTATTCTCTCTATTCTGGGTACATTAACAAAAGTTTACTCAAGCTGACCTAATGGAGACATTTATGATAAGGACATAGGTATAGCACATGTAACCTAAGATTAAATAGTTTAGCTGGACCTCATTGGAGACTAGAACAAGGAATAAAGAAGCCACTGATAATTGAAATTATATAAACTTAATTTGGACACATAATCTTATATCTCTGCTTCTCTGTGTTTATATGCTTCATTTTGTTTAAACGGATGAACTTTCTGTTTACACAGGACAAATATGATTTTACTAGTATCTGCCTTATATTATTTTAAAATTTAAGCACCAATTTGAAATTAACTAGAGTCTAAAACTGTAGGAGGAAGAATCTCATTGGACATCTTGGCTTAAGCTGCTTGTATTGCCGACTGTGACCATGTAATGTTGTACAGGGTATAGAAGCCAAATGCTATGGATAGGTTTGCAGTTATCAGGGTAGATAGTGCAGAGGAGAGACTTCAAAAAGTGTCAGCTATAGTGACAACCTCTTTTAATTTTATCTGTTTCTTGTTCACTAATGTTTGTGTTTATGTTCTATCCCAGGTTGCAAGATAATTTTAGATAGCCAAAATGGTTTTAATCACTGTTGTCAGTTTTCTTTCCCTCCTCAAGTTTAAGAGTAGGGGAACATTTGTTTGCCCTTGATATTTATTTTATTTTACAATAATAGGCTTAAATAAAAATTCAACCCCACAGGGCATTTCTTTATAAGTTTGCAAAATGTAAGAGTATAAAAATGTATAAAAACGTCTCATTGAATTCCATTTTAGAAGAAGTCCAGCAAGATGATGACCAGCTAGAGAACGACCACAAATCTCCAAACAGACTCCTTAGGGAAGTTGCATTCAAGAAGAAAACTGTGAATAATAAGAAAGGCAATGAATATAGTTCAATGGGGAAAAGAAATGTCAGTACAAAACGTGTTCCTGCAAAAAAAAGGCTTCTTAAATTTGACCAACATGGAAAGAGTTTCAAACAGAATTTAGACTTACCTGATTATGTAACAAGTTGTACAAAAGAGAAACTTGATGCAACTAAAGAACACAGGAAATCATTCAACCGTCACTTATCTGATACCAAAAAAAGCAAAAATAAAAATGGAAAGAAACACGAGAAATTATCCAGTCATAGCTTGTCTGGTAAGTGTGACAAAATTCAAACTGACAAGAAACATGAGAAATTATGCCTTCATAATTCATCCCATACTAAGGACAAAATTCCAACTGGAGAGAAACATAAAACACTCAGCCGTATCTCATCTTCTAAGCATGACAAATCTCAAGCTTCTGTGAAACCTTATGAATGTAATCAGTGTGGGAAAGTTCTCAGTCATAAGCAAGGACTCACTGACCATCGGAGAATTCATACAGGGGAAAAGCCATATGAATGTAATGAATGTGGGATAGCTTTTAGCCAAAAGTCACACCTTGTTGTACATCAAAGAACTCACACTGGAGAAAAACCGTATGAATGTATGCAGTGTGGCAAAGCCCATGGTCATAAACATGCCCTCACTGACCATCTAAGAATTCATACTGGAGAAAAGCCCTATGAATGCTCTGAATGTGGGAAAACCTTTAGACATAGCTCAAACCTAATTCAACACGTGAGATCTCATACCGGTGAGAAGCCTTATGAATGTAAGGAATGTGGAAAATCATTCAGGTATAACTCATCTCTTACTGAACATGTGAGAACTCATACAGGTGAAATACCATATGAATGTAATGAATGTGGAAAAGCCTTTAAGTATAGTTCATCGCTTACTAAACATATGAGAATTCACACAGGTGAGAAGCCATTTGAATGTAATGAATGTGGAAAAACTTTTAGCAAGAAATCACACCTCATTATACATCAAAGAACTCACACTAAGGAGAAACCTTACAAATGTAATGAATGTGGAAAGGCTTTTGGGCATAGCTCATCTCTTACTTACCATATGAGAACTCATACAGGTGAAAGCCCCTTTGAATGTAATCAATGTGGGAAGGCCTTTAAACAAATTGAAGGCCTTACTCAACATCAGAGAGTTCATACTGGGGAGAAACCCTATGAATGTAATGAATGCGGGAAAGCCTTTAGCCAAAAGTCACATCTCATTGTACACCAGAGAACTCATACTGGGGAGAAACCCTATGAATGTAATGAATGTGGGAAAGCCTTCAATGCAAAGTCACAACTTGTTATACATCAGAGATCTCACACTGGAGAGAAACCCTATGAATGTAATGAATGTGGGAAAGCCTTCAAACAAAATACATCCCTTACCAAACATGTGAAAACACATTCAGAAGAGAAATCTCATGAGTGAAATTAATGTGGGAAATCAATCTCATGCATGAAATTAATGTGGGAAATCTGTTAATAGAAAATTTGTTTTAATCCCCTTCTTTGATTTACTATCCTTCCCTGGAAGGGGCCAGCAAGTGGCATGGTGGTTAGAGTGCTGGACTCCCATATGAGAGAGCCACACTCCCTTGTGGCTCAAAGGTCACACTGGGCACATGTGTGTGTGTGTGCCCAAGATCTCAGGAGGAGAAAGGACTGTGATAGGGCCATCCCAGTTGGGGGGTGATTTCTCACTTTCCTTCTGTCTCTCTCCTGTGAGCTCACATGTTCTATGGCAAAAACAAAACAAAACAAAAAACTTTAAAAAGAATCTTAGAAGTATTCATTTCAAAGAATGTTAGAAAGTCTTTAGCAAGAAATCACACTTGGTAATCACACATTTGAAAGTGGATCTTCACATGGATGGAAATAAGAGTTTAAACTTGATACTGAAACTTTGTGGAAAGTGTTTTTAAGACACCCAATTATAAGTGATCTACATGTTCAAATTGAAATATAAAACTTTAAATTTTTTGGTATAAATTGAAGAGTTACTGCAATGGAGGAATATGTTAATGTCCTGTTAATTCCTGAGTTGCTTGGATGTTGTATACCACATATTGGAATTGAATTTACCTGTCTGTTTATTGTCTTGAATAAAGTGTGACCATTTAGATAAGTCTCCTCTTCAGTATTACCACACAGCTCTTTCTTAATGTTTCTATTAGCTTTTGTATCAGTGGAAAACTAGAAAGGATTATTTAGTTTTTAAATGTTAACAGAAAATTGAAGGAAAAGGAAAGGAGCTGAAGATACAAATGTGCTGGTAGGGAATGATGTCCAAGATTTATTGTTAAGTATAAAATAGGTTGCCGAGCCTACAGTATGCTCCCATTTGTGTACAGAAAGGTGTGTGTTTATCTGTCTTTCTCTGTCTCTTGAGTATGTATGTATTTATAGATACATGTATTTCTATGCAAATAGAATTTATTTGAAAAATTACAGAAGAAACTCAATAGTGCTTGCCATTGGGCACAAGAGTACAAGATTAGAATCTGAGATGAGAGAAAGAGAAACCTTTTATTGTATGTCGTTTGGATTTTTTTAAAGGAATTATTTTATTTATTATTATTATTCTAATTTGACCAGAGAGAGGAAAAAGAAAAGTGAGAAAGCAAGCCATGAGGTCCAGGACTCAAATTATGATCGGCCTTGAGGGAGTCCAGCATCCCAACCACCACACCACCTGCCAGCCCCTACTGTTTGAATTTTTAAAATAGTCTAGATATAATATTTTCACAATTAAAATACTTCTTTAAAAAAGTTTTATTTGGGAAGCAGCAGTTAGCGTAATGGCTATGTCGCTGGACTCCCACGTAGTCGACCGCGGTTCGCGTCCCGGACCCGGTGGCTTAAAACTCACGCCGGGCACATGTGCGTGTGTGTCCAAGATCCCAAGAGGAGAATGGAGGAGAAGGGATTGTGGCGTGGCCATCCCCTCTGGGGGGTGATTTCTCGCTTTCTGTCTCTATGTCTGTCTGTCTGGCTAGCACACGCGCCCTATAGCAAAAACCTCTCCAAAAAAAAAAAAAAGTTTTATTTAAGGACCAGCAGATGGCATAATGGTTATGTCGCTGGACTCCCATATAGCTGGCTGCAGTTTGAGTCCTGAACTCTGCAGCTTAAAATTCACGTCAGGCTCATGTGCATGTGTGACCAAAATCCTGAGAGGAGAATGGAGGAGAAGAGATTGCAGCATGGGGGAAGAATGGCTTACTTTCTGTCTCTCTATCTCTGTCTCTCCAACTCACCTATAGCAAAAAAAATCTCTCTAAAAAACAAGTTTTGTTTATTCCATAAGCACGAGAGAAGGAAAGAGACAGCACCTATATCAGGGTTGCGGTACTATAATCCATTTCCAGGTTCAACCAGCCATGACTCATCAGTATGTGTGTGACCTGCATACTTAGGTAGGTCTCCAGACTCGAACCTGGGACCTTCCTATGTGGGTCATCCTCATAGAGCATCACATTTTACTGCAGCACCATCTGGCCCTAAAATAAAGACTTTACATATGCATAAGTCAACACTATGTAAGATTGGTGCTGAACCCCTCCACAATATTGTTTGACAAATTTAAAAAGTGTCTATGCTGATTAATGAATGATGATGAATCTGAGGTATGTGGTATTAGACTTGGTAGTTAATTCACAAAGCTCTTTTATTAACATAATGAATTACAACTATAACGGCACTGTGTTTCTTCCACTTGCCATTTTTTAAATACTGAAAATGAATTATGATTTGAGGTGAATTAAAGTGATTTTTTGGGAGCCAGCAGGTGGTGTGATGGTTAAGGCACTGGACTCCTGTAAGACTGGCCATGGCTTACGTCTCAGACCTGGAGGCTTGTCTTCTCACTTTCTCTCTCTCTCTCTCTTTCTGGTGAGAACACATGCCCTATAGTAAAATTAGAAAATAATAATAATAACAAAATAAAATTAAATGATTCTTTTAAAAAAGTGATTTTTTGTGAACAATCATTCTATTGTATCTCATATTCAGAGCACTAGTGTGCAAGCCACACAATCAGGAGGGGTTTTTTGTTTTTATTTTTTTAAAGAGAGAATTTTGCTATAGGATGTATGTGCTCACTGGAGAGACAGAGAGATAGAAAGCAAGAATTCACTCCCAAGGGAATGGCCACAGCTCAATCCCTTCTCCATTCTCTTGGAATTTTGGGCACACATGCACATGCACCCAGTGTGAGTTTCAAGCCACTAGATCCAGGACTTGAACCATGGTCGACCACGTGGGAGTCTGACATCTTAGCCACTACGCTACTTATTGGTCCCATAATCAGGAATTTTTAATATTTACAATAAATGCCATCACTCTGTTTTTGCCCAATAGCAGATGATGCTAACAAATCACTACTAACAGATCACTGCACTCTTTCTGAGTGAAGTCAGAGTTGGCCTCAGAACCTCAGAACCATTCTTAAGCATGCATTCCAGAAGGAATTATGGATCAGTTTGTATCGACAGATTTCTTTGCCATTGCATGTGTAGGGTTTTTTTTTTTTTTCTTTTTAACTTTTGAGCATAGATAGAAAATACATCTGAACTGTTTGAAAATTTTTGTTATACTATGTCAGAGCATTGGTACATATTGATTTTAAAAATTATGCTAATATTTTAATACAATGTTAATATACGGTTAATATTATAAACTATTGTAATAATATTTAGCATATATGTTACTTTTTACATTTTTCACAGCATATTCACTGCATCATTTAATCCTCAGAACAAACATATGAGTCAGTATCCAGGACTTCTGTAGTCATGTTAAATTCTGTTGAATAAATGTTTTACCCTGATAGGAGTCTAAAAAATATTTGAATAAATGTCATTTTGCAAATATTTCCATTCAAGTCTCTGCCTTCGTGACCTCATTTTATGAATACAGAGAAGGGAGTGTGGGTATATGTGTGTATGCAGACCCGTTCACGTGTGCATGTTGAAAGACCAACTCGCTGATACTGTGCCTTAAATTCCAAATAATTTATTTAGTCGCAGGGAAGGAAAATGCAATGCGAAAGTCGTTTTCATCAGTAATTTAACAAGTAGAAGCCTGATAGTATGAATTGAACAAGTAATTACTGTCCAGAGCTGTAGAAAACTCATTTTTTTCTTTTTTTAATTTGCTATTCTCAGGCTTTTGAGCATGCACACACATGTACCTGGTACATTTTCAAGCTGCCAGTCTGAGACTTGAATGACATGGTAAACCATGTGGGATCCAGCTGCATTAACTGGCATGCCAGTGGTCTCTCGAAGACCCACATGTAACATTGATGAAAGTCTGCACCTAAAACAGCTCCAAAGTACATGAAACAGAAGTTTTAAAAATTAAAGGAAGATACCAACCAACAATTCCCCAATTAGAACTAGAAATCTTAACATTCTTCTCTAAGCAATTGATAGGGCATCTAGAAACACTATCAACAACCTTGATTTTACCTAATTGATATTTACAGAACCAAAAAAATTGCAGAATATTTTTTAAGTGCTCATGGGTATGTAAACCAAGATAGGAAATATGCTAGGCAACAAAACAACTCTTAATACATTTAAAATTATGCAGTGTATTCTCTGACCAGAATAAAATTGAGTTTTCTAGAGGCAGACATTGCAATGAGGTAGTAGGTATCAGATGTTTATTAGAGATGAACACCTATGAAAGGAATGGGGAGAAGCAAGATTGGTCTGAGGGAGAAACTGAAATACATTGCAGCCCAAAAAAGCCTTTGCTATCTTGCAAAGGAGCACTTGAGAAATTGTTATCATGTGAGCATCTTTCACTGGGCCTTTATACACCATGCTCACTCACCAGATGCAAGCAGTCCTGCAAAGAGCATGACTGGATAAGGCAGATCTCTGTAGCTGAGGCCCATTGACAGCTTGAAGCGATCTTATGATTGCACTCTTCACTTTTGGCAAGCAAGTACTTTGAAGGAAATCTGGGCTTGCAACTCTCTCTGTCATACTTCAGTCCTTGTTCTGCTAAATTATATATACATATATAAAATCAAACTTCCTTCAGGATTTCTGTGTGCCTCTCTGTTTGAGCAGGATTTAGAAGAGATTAGTAAATAAACTACAACCTCTGTTTCAGTGTAATCTCAGGATTACAACAGACCTTTCCTTCACTATCCATTCAAAGTTACCACCTCTACTGACCTGTGACATTGGTGATTGTGCCCTTCTTAGATCAGAGTTGCTGGGCCTATACCTTTCCATCACAACTGGGCAGCAGAGTAGTTAATGAATCCACATATTTTCCTCCCTTCCCGTATTGTGTGATAGCAGCCCACTTCCAACCTATGTTAGCATCATTTGCCTCTACCAAGACAATGCCTGCTAGTCTCTGAACACAAAGACCTCAGAGTATCTAGGCATTAGCCATCATTTATAAATCAATAGATTAATGATGCGTCCTTTAATGAAAATGTGCTCCTTTTAGAGACTAGTACCTGTTAGTAGAAGTGGCATTGGCAGTGATGGTAAGTTGGCTCCACTCCTACGTCCATTCCTCGGTTAGTGGACTGATGTATTCTTAGTGGACACAGGGCACCATATAGAGCCTTTGATTCAATGCATCCATTGTGTACAGGAAGATTTTCACCCCAACTTTACAGTTTATTGTCT